GAGGGGACAATGGGGGGATAAAGACACACTTGTAATACCTTAATCAATAAAAAATTTTTAAAAATCCACACTTAATATACAAACTCCCCATGTTTATCCAAGGGAGAAGTGGAATGGATCATGAAAAATTGGGAGTATGTTCTTAAATGCATTTTGTGGCCTGAGAGTTGTATTGCGTTTTGGAATCGGTGTGTTGTATAACTCGGTTTGGACACAGGTTCGTTAAAAGCATTCTGTATTACCCACATACAGAGTAGTTAGACATGAGGTCCTGATCCAATTTGTGCCGAGTAACAGGCATAGCTCTTGTAGAATTAAATATTTCTGGAAGGAATATCACAAAGTGGATAATCACAAACTGGTTGTATTTGTCTTGATAACGGAGGCATTTTACAATGTCTTTTCTCTCAAAGCTTAAAGCTCACGGGACAGTTTCTTGTTGATTCTGGCAACATCCCAAGAAGGAATTAAGACAGGCAAGTAGGAAACTGTAGCGTATGATGGATGGGAATTCTAACCAAGATAATTTAGCTTTTCTGCTCGAAGCTGGGAACAGGGCCCATGATTCACCAACAAATATCATAGCAAATAGAATATGATACTCCCATCCTAATACTATTCCACTATCTCCATTTCCAAAAATATTAGGTCTCAAATATCAATCTAAGAATTTGATTAAGACTCACGGACAAATCTTTTCAGACCTTAGACTACATAGGGCAACTTTATAAGACAAACTGTGTTTCAAAGCAGTGAAAACACTGCCCCAACTACCTTTGACTAAATTTCAAAAATTAAATAAAAGGGATTAACAAATGATTTTCACTGGAAATAATGTGGCTATAAATAATACAACAAAATACAGAAAACCCAAATAAAGATAGCAAGTTCATGTGTGAAATGACTCCCTTTGGAGGTGTACAGAGTCTATTCCTTAAAAAAAAAAACACACAAAAACAACCTTATGGTGAAGCCAAAGGTTGGTCTTCAAAATTCATTAGCTAATAATGAGGTATTTCTACATTCTTCTGGTGACTTAGCAAAAGATTGATGGGGAAAACTATGAAAGAAATGCTAGCACTCAACTTCATATACCATTTCATCTTCGGAACAAGTAAAAGAAACACAATGAAATTATTCATACTCAAGTCAAAACTCATCAAAGATACAATTGTCTTCTGACTTCATCCATCATCCTAAAACATAGTATTAGTCCTTCAGGTTTTCCCCACACAAAGCCTTACTTGTGATTGTACTGAGGATTCTCATCTTTTAAACTCATGCAGTATCAGGTACTGAAGAATATCTTAATAAAGGCCATATGGTCCTGGCCATTGATATATCGTCCTAACCATAGGTATATGGCCCTAAGCAAATCCACAAGTTTCTAACCCATGAAACCTCGTTTTTAAAAATACATTTTTATTGAATTCAGAGAGGAAGGGAGAGGGAGTGAGAGAGAGAAACATCAATGATGAGAGAGAATCATTGATTGGCTGCCTCCTGCATGCCTCACACTGGTTATCAAGCCCGCAACCTGGCATGTGCCCTGACTGGGGATTGAACCGTGACTTCCTGGTTCATAGGTCAACACTCAACCACTGAGCCACACCAGCCAGGCAAATCTCATTTTTTAATCATTCACAGAAAATCTCAATAGAAAGCAGCTCCATAAAATTTTCCCGTAACTGGCTTTACACTTGAGAGATGCTAACATGATTCCATGGGAATCAACTGTTTTGACAAAACCATAGAATCATGCTTAAGTAGCTGAAATTCAGGAAGATTAAATATTGGCAGATGAAGGGATACAATGAGAGAGTTCCAGATAGCAAGTAAGGGTAAAATATGCAATTTGAGAAGGGTGGAGGGTATTGACGGGCTCTATTTCCTCAATATCACAAGCACATTTTATCATTTTGGAAATCAGGGTTCAGACTGAAACTCACGTTACTAATTTTTTAGTGGCGTCTTCCAGGACTCCCTCTCTTAGAATCTGTGATTAGGTGGGTGGTACAGTTTCAACTGATAAAATTCTAAAATCAAGGCAATAAGAGAACGCATTCACTCACATCCTCAACGAATGTCAAAGTGGTTGTTAAAACTCAGTGGCCATCCCAGCTCACTGGGCTGGTTACCAGTTACTGGAGTAACAACAATTTGGAACGGGAGCTCTTGCAGTTGCCTGGCAAAGCTGCAAAATGGTTATGAGTGGAGACCACCTTCATCAAGGATCTGGCACGTGGCTGGTTAATATTACTTCCCCCTTCAAGGTTTTGTAAAAGTTCAACCAACTCCTCTGTCTCTAATAAGCCTTATTATCTAACCCAAAGTTAAACAAGTTTCTTTTGTTTCTATTCATCAGATTTCTAGCTATGGCCATGGGAAGGGATTTATATACATACTAGAGGCCCGGTGCACAAAATTTGTGCACTAGTGGGAGGGGAGGCCCTCAGCCCGGCCTGCACCTTCTTGCAGTCCGGGACCCCTCAGGGGATGTCTGACTGACGGCTTAGCTCTGCCACGGAGGCGGGAGAGGCTCCCGCCACTGCCACTGCTCTCGCCAGCCATGAGCCAGGCTTCTGGCTGAGCAGAGCTCCCCCTATGGGAACGCACTAACCACCAGGAGGCAGCTCCTGCATTGAGCATCTGCCCCCTGGTGGTCAGTGCATGTCATAGCAAGCGGTTGAGCAGCCTTAGCTTATCATTAGCATATTACACTTTGATTGGTTGAATGGACGACCGGACACTTAGCATATTAGGCTTTTATTATATAGGATATGCATGTGGGTAAAATTTTTCAGTTAGTAAAGGATTCAAGAAAACCGGTACTCAGCAATGTCAGCTTTCTTAGATTTCAACTTTCTTTGGGAGGAGAATTTGAGATTGTATTAAGGTGATTTTCCCTCTATTCCCTTAAAAAGGAAATGACTTTCATGGAATAGTTTTTTGATGTGGAAGCAACGTAGACCATGGAATCAAACTTAACTGCGCTTAAGTTCCGATTGTTATTTGCTGCTACGTTACTTCCAGTTACTTTCCTTGACAAGCTTTCGTTTCTTTATGGAGACAGGGGGAGAAGGAAGTCATAGAAAATATTGGCAATGTTTTGGGTTGTGTGGGGACCAAAGGCAGTAACCAGTAAAAGGATCTGGCATGTGGTTGGTTAATATTACTTCCCTCTTCAAGTTTTCGTACAAGTTCAATCAACTCTTCTGTCTCTAATAAGTCTTATTATCTAACCCAAAGTTAAACAAGTTTCTTTTTTTTTCTATTCCTATTTTAGTGCCCTCACATACCAAGAGGACAATTCCAACTGCATCTATTAAGGGTTGGCACTCTTGGCCTGAACGATGAACTATTAAAACTAAATGTACAGTCTGGTATACAGCTATTGGCTGTTTAATTATACTGTCTTTTTTTTACTTCGTATTTAAACTATTAAGCATTAGCCTTAGATTGCAGAGCATAAATAAATTCAAAATTCAGTAATGAATCTTTAATTCGTATCATTTTATTCTCTAACATTCAAGCACATGCTAATGTGATTATACCTCGGATTAGAGGCCAAGTATTTCACACGTATTTCCCAGTCTCGGCTCTAAGACATTCAGGAACACCCATCGTTGCCTGGGATTCATCACATTCCCACCCATCCATTCCCCAGCAGGTCTGTAAAGCGGCTTTAATTCCTTTCCCATAGTTATAGATCAATAAATGTTATTTCAATTGGACCAAGAGCATCTGCTCTGTTTTATGTGGAAGGGTGCAAGGACGGAGGAGGTGTGGAGAGAAAACTCTTACACATGAAAAGATTATTCATTTATGTGTAAAGCATGCTAACTTTCCAGGATTGAAACATGGGGAGATTTTTGCACTCTCTAAACGACTCCGTGAATGACCATGTGTTAATGATCACTCCAAGATTAAAGGGACAGAGATTTTATGTTTTGGCCTAAAACTTTGTAAAATGCCGAGGATGTGGTAAAGAAGAAGAAGTACTCTTCCTGGCTTTTCGATCAACGTGCTGTGTGTCTTCGATCAAGACGCTGAGC